TCTCCACTGATATGATCCATGACAAGCGCTCATCCATCTTCGATGTTAAGACCGGTATCGCTCTTGACGACCATTTCGTTAAGCTTGTCTCGTGGTACGATAACGAGTGGGGATATTCCAACCGCCTCGTTGATCTCGCCGTTTACATGAACAAGGTCGATTCTCAGTAGTTAGTTGACTCACAGCAATTCATTCACCATTTACTGCTTTTCTCATCTAAAGGGACATCGGGTCCCTCCACAAACCCTCAGGGTTGATGGCTTTTCATTATTCGTTTCGTGTTGTGTGGGTTAGATGATGAGTCTTCCCGTTTGTTTTTCGGACTGTTTAAAACGCAACATAGTCGAGTCTAATCAAGAAACCGACCGCGCCGGGTTGTTAACTGGTACACACAGGAATACTAGGATTTTACAGTATGTAAAATTTACATACTGTAAGAGTAGTTCGGTATTCTTGGCGAAGGACGGCTTGTTTTTTAATCGTACTCCGAAAGCGCTTCGTGTAGTTTTGAAGGAAAGTTAAGTTGAAATAGTGCGGGTGATTCGAGAGAACGAGGATGGAATGGGGTGGCGGTTATTTCAAACAACACGAATGTTTGTATTACAAACATTCGTGTTATTTGAAATAACATTATTACAAACTTTGTACACTCGAAAACCGTCTCAAGTTGATCCAAAACTTAAAGGCGATTCAAGTTGAGTATTTTTGTGAAACATGCCCTCTATCTCGGGACCCTTCTACTTCTTGATACTGCGCACAACCCAAATGCATAATGAGGTAAAAGATCATCAACCCAGAAGGTTCGTAGGGAGACCCGAAGGCCCTTCAAATGAGAAAATCAGCACAGCGCGAATGAATTGTGCATCAACTTACTGAGAATCGACCTTATTCATATACACGACGAGGTCAATAAGGCGATTAGAATATCCCCACTCGTTATCATTCCACGAGACAAGCTTAACGAAGTGGTCGTCAAGAGCGATACCGGCTTTAACATCGAAGATGGATGAGCGCTTGTCATGGATCATATTAGTGGAGACAACATCATCATAAGTGATACCCATGACACCCTTCATATCGCCCTCGGAGGCCTCTTAACTGCAGCAATGATATCGTCATAGGTAGCGGCCTTCTCGAGACGGCAGGTAAGATCGACAACAGACACATCAGGAGTGGGAACACGGAAGGCCATACCAGTCAACTTACCGTTAAGGCATGGAATAACCTTACCGACGGCCTTAGCAGCACCGGTAGAGGCAGGGATGATGTTGGCTTCGGCGCAACGACCTCCTCTCCAATCCTTACCACCCTTAGCGGGACCATCAACGGTCAACTGAGTGGAAGTAGTGGAATGAATGGTTGACATGAGGCCCTCGACGATGCCGAACTTATCGTTCATAATCTTAGCAAGAGGGGCCAAACAGTTGGTAGTGCAAGAGGCGTTGGAGACAATCTTGAGATCAGAAGTGTACTTCTTGTTGTTAACACCCATCACAAACATCGGGGTATTATCCTTAGGAGGAGCGGATATGACGACCTTCTTAGCGCCTCCTTGGAGATGACCAGAGGCCTTCTCACCAGTAGTGAAGACACCAGTAGATTCGCAAACGTATTCAGCACCAGCCTTACCCCACGGGATATCGCAGGGGTTCCTCTCGGCGAAGACCTGAATGGTCTGACCGTTCACAATGAGGGCGTTTTCAGCGACCTCGATGGTACCGTTGAACTGACCGTGTACGGAATCATACTTGAGGAGATACTTCATATAGGGGATGTTCATGAAGGGATCATTCACAGCAACGACCTTCACTTCGGGGTTCTCCATAGCAGCACGGAAAACAAGACGGCCGATACGACCGAAACCGTTAATACCAAGTTGGCACACCATTATGGGTAGTAGTTTATGATGAAAGATACCAAACTGATAACAGTTTGATGATGATAATAAAGATAACCTCTTCAGAGAAGTGCGCAGCCAAACTCAGCTCAGCGCAAGATGCCCACATCAGCGATGTCTACCTGAGCACATCCTCAGCTCGTCTCGATGTACCCTATGCGAGGGCTTTTGTTAATCAACTAGACCAACTTAGTAATACGGTTGCTAACTCCTTGCTTGAGATTATGTTTAATCCAAAATTGAAAACTGTTTCTGTGATTGAGATTCGGTTACGGAATTATTCCTGGTTATCGGAGTTAGCTTACTGCACAATTTCTGTATATCTCTGTCATCATCTCTACGTGCTCTTCAAGAGCATCTTAACTCTACTGTATCCACAATTGGCAAGTCAACTTTCACTCAACACAACCAAATGAAGATAGAAACTCCTCGTCACACATGAACTCTCACGGCGACAATTGCATGATGGCTTCGACTATGTCGTTGTTAGCAGCCTTCAGAGCCTTCACCGCCTTTGACCTCGAACAGTTAACTTGACCCATCACCAACTCGACGTCCTTTGCTTCTGCGCCGCTCTCATCGACATCACTTTCGTCCATATCGTCCTCAACCACCGGGCCGGGGACCAGAGGGTGCGGGTTGGCGTCAACTTTGCATACTTCCGGCATCATGCCGGTGAACTGGGACGCTGCAGCGGCCTGAATGGTAAGATACAAAACAGGTCTAAATGGTAAGATGCAATACATGTCTAAATAGTAAGATACACAACAGGTCTAAATGAGGCACTCTCCCACCTGCGACATAGCTGACATGTCTTCAACTCTCGCTTCGCCAAAGACAACATAAGTATCACCACCTGCCACTTTCAATACGTCCGGTTGGGAGATCACGAACAGCATCTGAACGAACAAGTGAATACCACTACGTAGTAACATAAGGAAGGACTTACCTCCTTCCCTTTACGGACTGTAACTCTGATAATACCAGGCACTGGTTTCAACCCGAGCTTTTGAATGGCCCTTCGAGCTTTCTTCTCAGCTCTGTTTAGTTTGCCTCTCATAGCGGCGTGCTGGTCTTGAGCCGCCTGGGTGTAGTCCTCATCAGTAGCCTCCAAGGTGGGCATCTCATCGTCGTCAGATGTATCGTCGGAATCGACACGACCGTCAACTTCTTCAATGATTGGCATTCAAGTGACTCCGAAATTCAGTTGCCGGTCAAACATAAGCTTAGTCATTTCATACTCCACAGTCATACGGTATCCCACGGTTTCACCATAATGCGGTCGAACATCTCTACAGATATCAACCTTATCGGGCTTTATACGGGCCGGAGTCATCAACAGCCTCAGCCCAACAGAGCCTACTCATGTTGTCTCACTTTGTATACAATTCAATCACATATGTCGGCCAGTCCTTGGGTTTTGGTCGTCTACTTTTCGCGCGCCACTAATTTCTCACTTGCACGGTTTCGTTGTCATCACAAGTGGAAAGCATCTACTTATCTCTTCGAGACCATGATGGGTACCATCTATATGCGGTGAACTAACCATTCACAAGAGGTGATATTTGCGTTTCTGTTGGCGGATGCAACTTGGCTTTGTGTTATGGGTTCACGGAACCGGGTGGTTCATCATCAACATGGAGAAGAAAAACTTAGTACAGACCCCAAATTCTCTATTGCAACCACAAATGGACCTCGGAGGGCACAAAGATCTCACAGAGGAGTCCCCCAAAAAAGCACCGCGGATGAGAACGGGGAAAAAGAAACCCGAGACCCACCCGAAACCCGACAGGACAATCCGAAACCCGAACTGTCATCCAGCGTGAAATGTGGCCCAAGGAGACAGGAAGTGGCCACGGGAGAAGTTTGTGGCTGCAGCAAGAAAATCTGTGGCTCGTGCGGAGATATTAGGAGATGGAGTTTAAGACGAGTTATGTGCTCAGAACTCATATCCTTGGATAGTTTAGAATCACAGACTCGCAATTTGTACTTTCTCCTAGTTCCAGCTCTGCAGCTATCACATAGTTGATATGGTTGAGCTCCGATGTGGTCAAGTGTAACTCGCCGCTTGCCATCCGAAGCACCCAGGTTCGAACCCTCCATCCAACTTTTACACACTTACCCAAAACCACTTCTGTTATGATATTCAAATTCATAGGAGAGCTCTTGCTACTTGCAAACAGGGATACTTGAAACGCTTTACAATACATCAAATCAAATGAACGCCATAATGATTCCACGGCTCAGTTTCCAGCTTCCTGACTGATACCCTCGTAAATGTCAACGTCATCATCAGCCTCTCTATTATCAGTAGCAAGTCTGAGCGATTAAAAATGAACAACAAACGGAGAAATTCACCCACTTTTCGGGGGACTCTTTCTCAGCGTTTATCTGCGTTTCCTCCTCACTTTCTTTGACATCCTCTTTTTTGGGCTCGTCTGTCTAAGGATCGAATGAAACGATGAGAAGTATTCCCAAAACTTCAGCATTTTGCGGGAGAGAAATATCACATATGTTACAAAAAATATATTTTCAGATATATCAAAAATCCACCACACTAATCCCCATAGAGAACGCCGACTCGGATGATCATACAATGCGAACACTTCCCACAGCAAACGACCGCATGACGAACAACCCTTCTCTGCGCTCAAAACGGTGATACAAAAATTTGGTGAAACGACTCAAAAACAGCGCATTCCTAAAAATGAGGAGCATTGGAGAGAAGATGACACAATTTCGATGGTAAACGGTTCAGTACAAGTCTCCAACGTTTTGTGTAATCTGGCAACTATCAATTCGTCTGTATTTGTACGTCTGTGTTACAATGGCAAATTGCGTGATCGTGTCTCCGCTATATATGTGTTGAAAAAGATGATAATTCGACTTCTAATATTCGATCATCGATAACCATATCGGCAATCTTCGACGTAGGGAATCATTTTCAAATCATTATAGATGCCGTAAAAACCCTCCTCACATGGCCAGTTTCTTCACGCCCTTCCTCAGCAGAGTTTTCCTCCGACTCTCCGTCTTCGCTCGACCTCGATGATGATGAGGAGGAGGATGATGAACTTGAACTATCGGAGGACGAATCTTCCGAGGAAGTATCATCATTCTGAAGGGAAACAAAAAATGAGCCCATCTAAAAAATTACATAACTTTTTTTCAGCTCCGCAACCGAAACTACTTCAGATCAATCTGTTCTACCAGTTACGTATACCAAAAAAACTGTAAATTAATCTCAACGATAATGGAGTTTCACCCTAGTGATATGAAAAACACAATTCGCGAATACTACAGGCCGCGAATATCGCGTTTTTCACCAAGTTTTACGCCATTTCACATAAAACGGGTGAAGCTCCAATATTCCTGCATGAAACAACTAATTTTTCGTGAAAAAAATTATCGCGCATTCTCATCGGCCTGGAAATTGATCAAACGATGGCGTCCAGAAAACCTCATAGAACTCAACTAGATGTCACTCAAAACTGATCGCTGGTGAATCCATACGACATTTTGGAATTAAAACTCTAGGGGAACATATTCGCCTTACTTTTTTCTCTTCCGACCCTTCGCGAGCCTTCTTAGCATTACTCTTACCAGCTGTACTCGAACGCTTGCGTTTTTGCCCAGCCTTTTGAGGAGTACCAAAAGCAGCCTTCTCCACACTAGGAAGGGAATCATAATGAAAATATGCAAATTGAAGCAAATCAATTTGTGGTATATGAAATATATTCCACGAATATCTGTCATCAGTCGAGGGGAGGAAGACTACTGTTTGCCAATACGGTGTCGAGACCAAAAAGTAAACTCTGCATATTGCACATACTGCGATGCATGAAAATTCTCAAAATGGCGTAAAACTGTGGAAATTTCTGGAAATTTTCAAGCTCCTTTCCACCCCATCACCTCGTCATGCTGGTCCACTCTACACTGAGCATCTCAGTAATCTCCTTTGGTGTGAGCAGCTTCCCTGATTCGGTGTTCTTCATCTCCTTCGTTCTCTGTGTGAGGAAATTGGAAAACCCCGAGCCTTGTCGGGTAGTCTTGCTGATCTTTCTTTTTCTAGCTGTAGAAGCTCGTCTCTTGGCTCTTGGCTGTGATAGAGAAAAGGCGATTATTAGGGATTTCTATCTCTATAAAAATTCCCTCGAGCTAGTGGAGCGACTTCGCATATCATAGTGTTTGTCATACCATCGGCAGAATCTCAGAAGATATGTATGGTATTCTTTCCCGTCATCTCAGTTTTCAACTCGCAATTCTGGCTTCCCCATTTGAATATAAAAAATTCTACTGTAGCCTCGCAACGTGAATCTGCTCCTGAGGATCTACTCCATATGGCGTTCATCACGTTTCCTCAGATTATCGTAAAGTTCACCATCACAGGGGACGACACATTGAAAGATTCCATGCGCGATCGGTAAACTCACTTTTTTCAATCCCTCGTCCTTCGGAATGTCCAAAAATCTCAAAATCGACTGGGAAAATAGAAAAGGTATTTCACCATAACAGAAGCAATTCACACCTCTTCTAAGGCAGTACGGCTCTGAGATGCTGACAACCCCAATGTACGGGCGATCTCTCTCAAACTCTGTCAGAAGTAAAGATGCAGACAGGTTGCTGCGAGGAGCAGCTCACTTCCTGTTTCTTAGTGGTCGAGAGAGTCTTCTCGATCCTCTCTCGGTCCTCGGAATTTTGGGAGCCGTTCCAGGCGCGAATCTGGGAAAAGGCACGATCCGGACCTATTTCGTATCTTGCGCAGTCGACCAGAAGATACTCACATCCCTTTTCCTAGTGGATTCTTTCCCAATTGAGTTAAACAGACAGACATGTAGCCTTTTGAGGCCCTCACTATCAGCCGCAGCCTTACTGATGCCCTTCGAAACCTGTCACATGAGCTATCACCCTGAAGGTCCCTGGTTCGATTCCGACACCTACCACTTCAATATCTCCCAGCTTGAGTCCCTTTCCCTCTCCAGCCTGGAGCTTCTTCCTTGCCTCAATTTTCCTCTTCTGTGGCGGAGCGAAGTGCTCAACAGGCTTGCTCGTTCTACTGCTCTTTCTGATCACATCCTCATTGTCTGATATCTCCGATTCGACATCTGTTGGAGGATTCTCAGGAGGGTTGGTAGTCGGCTCCATGGGAATCGTGGACAATATCAATGGGCTTAGTGAAATCTACGATTTGAGCTTATACTTTCAGAGGCAGGCTCTTTAGAGCAGTCGCTAGTAAACAGATGAAAGAATGAAAAAATGACAAGTGAAGTTGCAGAATCAACTTCGGGCTCCAAAAGAGTTCATTCATCACTCCCACTACAGAAGACGGAGGGGAATCGATTCCTCATGAATTATATACAAGTACGGTCAGGTGCGGAACAAACTTCATGTTGACGTTACAATCGATACTGAATGTATATATTGACTCGTAGCATGTAGTCAGGAGTTACCTTGCTGAGCAACCCGTGAATCTAGCGCTAGTATGCATACGTCGTCGAGTTGAAGTAGTGAATATAAAAGAACGGTGGCCCCGTTGTAGGATGTAACATACTTCACAATTTGATGCGACAAATGAGCGATTTTCCATAGTATTTTTACTAGAAATGCCTACATACTCATCAATCTCAACACTATCATAACTATTCCGAGCCCAATGAGAGTACGCGAGTGCTGCAGACCCCCCCCCCCCCCCCATTGACCCACTCATACAAGTCAGTTGACAGTGATACCGAGAAACGAGTGAGCTTAAAAGGGATGATAACCTAGTGCACTCAGAACCCTTCATACGTGAGTAACTCCTGTATCCGAGACATGACCCGCATACACTGACCAAAACAGGGAGGGAGAGGATCTTTACAGTACAGACGTCGTCTGTAATATTAAATTGATGTGAGGATCCCATAAATACTCACCTTCCGATTGCCGACACTTTCGGGTTGGAATGGTATAATAATACCGCAGTTGGGGCTGCGGGCAGAGGCCAAGTGAGCAGAGGGGCGGCTATGCCATCCCAAGATATGCCTCAATAAGATCAATTTCTCCGAGAGGGCGGCTATGCCATCCCAAGATATGCCTCAATAAGATCAATTTCTCCGAGAGGGGCGGCTATGCCATCCCAAGATATGCCTCAATGAGATCAATTTCTCCGAGAGGGGCGGCTATGCCATCCCAAGATATGCCTCAATGAGATCAATTTCTCCGAGAGGGGCGGCTATGCCATCCCAAGATATGCCTCAATGAGATCAGTTCCTCCGAGAGGTACGACCGAAGACCCTGCAACTACAAGGTGATCAGAGAAATGGCCCGGGTTCGTTCGAGGGCCAAAACCGCAGCCTTATAGTGCCTACTTGGCAATACCAATGGGGTTTCATCTTATGCTCCTGACGCTGTGCTTGGTTCATCTCGCGTCACGCGCCACAAAATTATCACCTCTGCGTGCACGTGTTGCTCAATGCAGTGATCAACTCCGGTTGATCGGCGAGAATGAAATTCCAGTAGTTGAGGAACTTCCTGCTCCTGCACAACGAGGAAGAGGGTGATTGTGCGATGAGCCTGTGATGAGGCATGGAGGCATCTTGCGCACATCCTGGGGTACTAGCTTCAAGCCAGTGCAGCTATTCGAGCGATACCGATGATTTAAGTAATGAGTGATGTTGGTTGTCTGGTGATCACCAGACTTTGGCGGATGTTTCGCGCCCATCTCGGCACAATCCCTCGATGCGGAGGTAGGGTTAGAGTTTGTCTTCAACGATATTTCAAGGTAAGTCCGCGGAGATATTTGGATTGTATTCGTTCACAATTTATTGTGCAATAACCAAGGGGAGTTACACGACAGGCGTCTTCAGCGAGGAAGAATATGCTTTGCTCTTATCTCAGGCAATAGTGAGGTTTAGTAATGGTTTCTGATGGTAGTAAACATATAGGTACACGTTTCTCGCTGAAAATGTAGCCTTAAAATAGGTCTCACGAACGGCCATCGTGTCGTATTTCATTCTTCGAATGTACCTCGTACATACTACGCACTCTGTACTACGGAGGCTACGTATGAATGTAGCATTTTGAATGGATCACTGATCCCGGATCAGGATCACGGATCACGAGTAGTGTAACGTAGCAAAAGGGCCCCGTTACAGGATCACCGTAATTCAGCACGTAGAGCACCACTGATCCGTAAACTCAGTTTACTAAACTGATCCTCTTTATGGATCAAGAATTTGATCTCATGCTTGATCTGGATCAGAGGATGATCCGGGATCATTGATCCCTCGGTACAACATGGATGACGGATCATCCTAATTTCTCACGACGTCTGAGAATTTCTCATGGTTCAAGTTTTTTTCCAAGGATCATAGATCAGGAATCCTGATCTGATCCTTGAGAAAAACTTTCATGGTCAACTTTCCTGATTCAGGATCAAAAATGAGGATTACGCGAGATCCAGATCAGGGATCAGTATCAAAATTCAGGGATCAAGATCAAAAGTCAAGGATCAGGATCAAAGATCACGATGTGACTCACGCATCTCGGATCACGATGGATTTGGCTCAGGCGTCAAGATCAACGAGTGATCTGGATCATGTACTCGATCTGTGGATCAGGATCTGCATACGGCCCTAGGCCCCTCTGTGTCACAGAGTCTGTGAACCTGTAGGGTTGTTCGCCTACTTTTCATAATCCGTTTCGTGTTGTGTATACACTCAGTAGCATCGGAACGAAACTGCTGTAGGAAATCGCAAGGAAAAAGAGATATTAGAAAAAGAGCCTATCCTCAATCTTCGTGTATCAGATATCAAACGGAGCAAGTGAGTTTTCTAGATTCGTGTTGAAATCGATGAGCTAGTCTCTCTAGACAATCTAACTGTCAAGTAGAGTTACGTTCACGTTGTACGAATATCGATGGTATAATGTGGTCTGACGAGTGATGACATCGATGAGCGTAATACATGACATTTTTAAGCCTGTAATTGTGTACTTTGAACATAGCAGACACGTCTACACATTTTCCCGTGCAAGTTTAATGAGTGGGTAGGCAAGAATGACGGTGTTGTAGGCAAGTTCGTTCTTGAGAATTCAAGCATGGCACAATTCGGTTCTGTTATAATCACGATGGAGTCAACCTTGGATTTTCATTGTCAATCTGATTGACAATGAAAATATAAGCTTGTCATTGGTCTAGTGTGTTACAGTCAAGTTTGACAGTAATTACAAAGATACACAAACAGTCCTTATTGTACCTTTCAATGGAGTTTCATGGGAAGGAGGTAATCAACCGTTCACCACATCACCACCTACAACACAGATACTCACACCAATACACCAACAACAACAACATCATTATCATGAGCATTTTAACAACATCATGGATTCTCTAGTAAAGCTATCGTATTATCAGTGTAATCAACATGAACAGTATACGCTCTGAAGAAAGGCGTACCCAGCATGTTCTGATCTTTACCAAAGTGATTGATGTAGATTATAACATCCTCTCCTCCAGTGTCACCGGTATAATGTTTGGGATGAATCCTAATCTGTTTTGACTCTTTCCCTCCCTCAAGTTGCAGATTCAGCACAGGCAGACTATCGTATGCTTCCTTCTTGACGTGAATGAATCCATCCCCTTCTAAATAGCACATTTTTCCAATTTTGTCTTCCGAATAACCCAGTTTCTTTTTCATAGTCCTTCTGATTTTCGTTTCGATTCTGTCGAGTATGCTCTTGTAAGGCAAATAA